TTTTTGGTTTTTGGATTTTGCCAGTACTACCTGTACGCTAGGAGCTTTGACCACAAAATGACCGCAAAACACGCAAACAACTGCACTCCCAGGGTGGCCCGTTCTGTGTGTATATATATATATATTACATAGCAATTAACAATATTAATCATAGGCAGGTAAGTAGGCGGGTAGGTAGGTAGGTAGGTAGGTAGGCAGGCAGGCAGGCAAGTAGTAGGTAAGTATTTACGTGGAGGAGCTGTATTTGCTGCATTTCTTCATCTTCAAACAACAAACTGACCCGGTTTATATCTCTCACATGGTCAAAAAGGCCCCGAGCGAGCTGCGCAGAGCTGCTGCGCTGCTCCTACCACGATTTGCAATTTCGACGACGACGACGACGGCGGCGGCGGCGACGGCGAGGCTCTGGTTGCATCCGAGCGGCGTCCCAGCACTGGGAGAGTCGGGAATCAGTCGGAGGAACTCCTGTTTAGGGTTTGGGGTTTAGGGTTTAGGGTCTGACGATAGAAGGCACTTCACGGTCGCTTTTCGGAAGTGTGCAGCGAGCCTGCACGTCTGGTTCCAGAAAGAGGCCTTGAACGGCTCCAGGCCGAGGAACGCTTCAGACACCAGAGTGGCTGAGAAGCGGGCTCTGTCTCAGCATAACCGAAGCAGCCTGAATGATTTCAGTGATTCAGGGTTCCAACTTTAGCTGTTGCCAAAAGGTCCACGGATCACGGGTTGCTCTGCCTTCGGGCGGGGGCTCGACCGAGAGGCCCTGAAAGGATGGATGTCCAGTGCAGAGTGTTCACACGCCACAAGACTGGGACCCAGAGAAAAAAACAAGCGCCTCTGCCTCTGATAGGTGAGCATGCGCTCGATCTCTGCCTGCTTGATACGCTCCCTGAGACAGCGGTGGAAGGCTTGATCCTTGCCGCGTTGCCAGCTCCCATGCCTCTCTTCCTCCTCCTCCTGGCGTTTTCGCCGCAGCTCCCGTGCTGCCCAAAGGTCCTGGCAGACCACAGAAGCAAAGAACAGAAGGCTCTCGGCTACCCGCGGGGGGCCTTCCTTTGCACTCGGATCATGCTGATGACCTCCCGGCACCCGCCGGGAAAAAAGGAAGCTTGGACTGGCTTCTCGCTTCTCCACGTGTCGAGCTCCGAGGCTCCGAGCGTCATGAAGGATTCTGTAAACGGACGCGCAGCTTCGGCACACTGGCACCTCTTTGAGCCTGTACCTGCCGGGCACGTGACTGTGCCAGATGCTGAAAGCTCCAGCTGTGCCCAGATCTGCGCCTGAAACCCGCCAAAGAGCGGTCCTCAGCTGTGCGAGAGGGGTGGAAGGCCAAGAAAAGCCGCGGCTTCCCTTGACGAAGCTTCGCAGAGGCAGCAGCCATGCGCTTGGAGACGCATCCACCCCCTTGCTGCTCATCCTCAGGGAGGGATAGATTCCACACATTCATTCGCCCCCCGCCCCCCTCGCCCGGGGCTTAGTTGAGGAAAACTGAGAGCATCTGAGTGGGCGCACCGTCTGGAGCTTGGCGGCTGCGTTGGTCACAGTCACGGCATCTTTGGGGTCCAGTCGCCAGCTGAAACCTTCCAGCCATCCTCGAGCTCAACCGACTGCCAAAGGCTGCCGAATTCTCTGCGAGCGTCGGGGCCCCGGGCCGCAAAGGGTGGGATGACTGCGAGCTTCCATGATCACGGAGAAGCAGACCTCAGAGATCAAGGCCGCCATGGCCCTCAGAACCCACCCACCTCTCGGCCTCTCGCAGCCTCTCGGCCCGCGGCACGGCCGGGAAGCGGATCTGCCACAGGCCGGCGGCGTGCCTGGAAGGCTCGCATCTCCGACAAGGACAACGCCGGCTGGCGCGGCCCTGCCTGCGGCACTGGCTCTTGGCCTTTCGAGGGTTTCTCCCCCGGCTCCCGCTCGTGCTCCAAACAAGCCACCAGCTCCTCCGCTTCGGGCACGTCGTTGAATTTTTTCATCACTTCATGCGACAGCCTCTGGCTCGAGCACAGGGCCCAAGGTCACATCCGAGAACAGAGATACCTCGCATGGAGTGGAACAACCACATGCCCTCTACAACCCCCGTTCCCCTGTTTCCGTCGAGTTCGAGCACCTTCTTGCTGCAGAGCTCTCTTCCTTGCCTGTCAGGGTCAAGGATCTCTGCAAGTGCCATCGATTGCTCGAAGCACAGAGCCGTCTAATGTGCTCTTGATTGACGCAGCCTTGTCCAGGCGTCGTCAAGTAGCTGGATGTCCTCGCGTCTCTGCAGGCATGCGCACAACGCAACCCGGGCAGATGCGGCCGGCCCATGTCCTTCAAGCTGTTCGGGAAGCGGAATTCCGCTCGGCAGAAGTCGCCATAGCACCTTCACTTTTCTTGCTCTTGTTGTACCAGTGTCGGAAGAGCGCGAGCATCACAGATTTGAGCCACAGACCCGGGGACACCCTCTGGCACAGGCAGCTCCCTGCTGTGCTATCAGCAAATGCAAGCACACTAGCCGGTGTTGGAAGGCGTCACTGAGTCACTCGTGCACGGTCCGAGCATGCTGCTGGCACTTAGCACTCTTGCGCTTTCGACGCCCAAGCCTCGAACCGGTCAAGATGCAGAACATGCAAATGACTTGCGGAGTGAATAAGGTCATGACCCCAGCTTGGGCTCACTGACAGCCTTGACGACTTTCATCGGTGGGAGCCTGGCGGCGGCTTGCGCGGACGGTGTGTCGTCCGGCAGCCCAGAGTAAGTGTGTCGGTCAGACGCGACGGGAGCCCGATACTTTGCGGGCAGGAACGAGAACCTTCACAGCTCAGGGCTCAGGTGCTCAGATGCCCTCCATGTCCTCCATCGCCCATGGCTATACCGACGGAGGATCTCTGATTGCCATCCCTGCTATGCGCCTGCATCCCGGGAGGACGCAATGATCCTCAGGCCAGTCCTGCAAGTCAAAGATCCATCCAACAAAAGAGGCGCACAGGCCAAGCTGCACCACGCAACATTGACTCGTCTTGCACTCTTCCCTGGGACTGGGCAGCGGGCGTCGATGGGCCTCGTGGCTGCGAGGCACCGCTTTCGCACCGCTTTCAACAGTTTTCCTCTCCGTCTTTAGCACCTTTTTAGCAGCGGCTGCGCCTGGCTGGGAGGCGGAGCTGCGCTGCGAGCGCCGTTTCGGCCTGCGCGTTTTTTTGCTTGGCACCGGCGCGGCTCAGATCTCGGAGAGAAATGCCGCAGCCGGACCTCCGAGCTCCCGCCAGGGCACCGCACTCCAGGCGCGGTAGGGCTAGACATGGCTAGACCACGAAGGGCTGTCTATGGAGACAACTTTGTTAAGCCTACTTTACGGCAGCTACAGTAGCCCTGTCTGAACAGCATCAAGGCGTCATGAAGTCACCGAGCTACATCAAGCTACCACTCTCAACAGTCAAACGGACTGTGAGGTTGGCCAAGGCTGCACAACCGGCGGACAGGGTTTTAACTTGCATTGCAGCGCTTCCAAATGAAGGGACAACAACCAACGCCCCGTGCCATAATGAGACTTTTCGATACCACATGTGCTGGGCTCGAAGTCGACACGTCGATGTTTGGCGATGCAACCGGGAGAGCAGTAGTCAAAGCCTGTCGTGACTGCAGGATTTCTCTGTGCAAGGAGGGCGCAAATCAAATCTGAGTGCGGACCCATCTTGCTGAAGTGCTCTCCGTCGGGTTTCCTCGTGGCACAGACCACTGCAAGGAAGAAACAGACACTTCTGCGGCTGAGCCACGTTTTGCCGCACCAGTGACACTCGATTTCATGTAAGACCTCAGGGCTCCCCCACCACGCACGGCTCAGAGAGTGAATCGCCATTTTGCTTGATCTCGGATTCAACACCTCAAGCTACCTGCAAAGAGCCAAGCAACCCAAAAGCCAAGACTCCGAAAAAGGGGCTACCCCCACATCGATGCGATGAATTCAGTGACAGGCCTTCTCCGGCGCTATGGGTGCTTGCCACGGATAGCTCAGGAATTCAGCAGCATTCGCCCGGCATTGCAGCTCGTCCACTGAGCCTCTGCCACACGGCATCGAGATTTAGCTGTCCTTCGGACCACTGCTCTGTTTTCTGCGGTCACACGATCACCTTGACTCCTGACTGCATCTTGCATCATATCAGAAGGCGACGCACCTAGTCATCACCTGTTATTCTCTTCCTGGCCTCGCCGCAGGAGCTCGACGGCATAGCCCAAGCCTGAACCTCCGAAGGCCTCGTCTGCTACGCCTCTCCCCTCTCGCGGGCTCGCGGACTCTCGCAGAGCAGACGCAGAAAAAAAAAAAAACTCGCGGCGCCTGAAGGTCGCAGCGGAAGCGCAGGCCGGTGGCCAGCAGCAGCCGTGAGGGCACAACGCGGCCGATGGCCTCCAGAAATGAAGCCTCGGTCCTTGGCCCAAGACCCCGCACAGCCGTCACAGCCCGGGAAACAACCACAGCCCTGCCCTGCCCTGCCAAGTCTCCTCACGGGACGCCGGTCGGGATAGTCCTCGCAGGAAACCCACAGACTTCGAAGCCACGAGCCTCATCCGTCCTCCCAGGCCACATCAGCTGCTTGGGGTGGCGCGCAGAAGCCGACGTAAGCACCACGGTCCTCGTTTTCAGCGGAAAGAGGGCAGCTCTCTCAACCTTGGCCATCCTGCACCTGCACTTCCTGTGTGGAAACCGGGCTGTCATCGGGAACGTCGAAGAAGGCGCACTTCCTGTCGGATCTTGCGATGCCCATTTAAAGCCCAAAAAGCAGGAGTGGCACCCTGCGAGTCCTCCAGTCAGCACGATCTAGGTGTGTAAGGGCTTCTCGTGGAACAGATCCGACCAGCAAGAGCGGCGCTTTTGATCGCAGCTGCGCCTGCGACGCAGACACGTGTTTGAGGACTTTGAGGTGAGTCCCTCCCTGCAGCTCGACGTCGGGGCGCCTCGACGCAGATGGCCAGCAGCTCCAGGTTCTCTGCGGGCACCTCACCGATGAAGCCTGGCCTCTCGCTTCGGCTCCGGGCTCGGGATCGTTGCTACTTCGACGATCTTCATCTTCGACGGCCTTGCCTCAATGGCTCTGTGCTGGCCGAGCCGCTGAAGCCACAAGCCAAGTTTGAGACTACCTGAGCTGGGTGACAGCTGTGTCACAAACGCCTAGTCGCGGTTACATGATGCCCACCAGGCTTCAGCCCGGATGCTGCTGATACACAGGTTTCGAAGTCTGCCAAGTCCTGCTATGCAAAGCTTGCCGACAAGAACACAGCACAAGCCTCCTCCCGTCAGACCACCCATCCCTCAAACAAATCCTGCGGCGGTGCTGTGCCCACGGCAATGCGCATGCCGGTCTCCCGAGTGATGTCCAAGAGGGTGCGTGGTTGCAAGGAAAACTGCAGGGGCGTCGTCCTGAGAAGGCAAGGTGCAAAAACGTAAAGATGGTGCGGGCCGCGGGGTCCCACGAGCTGCTCGCCGAGCCACACCAAGATCAAGCCAGCAGCACCATGCTCACGCACGAAGGTGCTTGCAGCCTGGAGCGCATCCTGCGCAGGCCAGAGCATGGTACACTGGCCACGCGCACAACCGACTTGCGCACCTCTTGGTTCAGATGGAGGTTATGCAGTGTGGCTAAGGGCCATCGTCGCACTGCGGACAGGCCTCCAGCCCACCGGCATTCACATTCGAATGGATGGTGTGTCACATCAAGCTAGCAAGTGTGCTGCGCGAAAGCTGCACGACATCCCCGGGATCTAAACTCGCCTGCCGCGAATCAGGAAAAAGGGCATCGCTGCACCGAACCTCCGAAGCTGCACCTGCGAGGAGCTTCGAAGCAACGTCGACTGGTCATTCAGGAGCCACTCCTCGCGGATTTTTGCACGTAGCTCTTTGGACCGTCCCCCGAAGGCCATGCGCCCGTCCCTGCACAGGACCGGGCCAGCGGTCAGTGCATCCGGAGGTACAGGACCGACCTCAGAACTCAGACGGACACAGACAGAAGGTCAAAGCCCGGACTCACATCCGAGCGGTGCTCAACAGACATCACCACCAGAGGAATGGGGTCCATCGCTCCCAAGAGCACACCCTGCTCCCACAGGTCTATGTACCCGACCTACTGTTGATGATCGTGGGCGGCACGGATAGTGAGTTGAGACTGCTCATGGCGCCTCATCCGAGTAGCCGTTTTTCTGACTGCTACAGTTCCACAGCCTCCTACTTCTGTACTCCTTGGTTTGACACCTAACGCCAGCTTTGAGGGTGAGGAAATACTAAACAGAATCAACGTCTGATCCAAGAAAACCCTGATAATCCAAGAGCAATTGCAACGAATGCAAAATCACGAAGTCACAAGAGATTCTGCTCAGCTCCGGGTCGTGACCAACAACACTGTACGAAAAGATAATACACATCAGCATTCACCCCACCTGCAACACCCAACCTCACCCACACTGCCCCCATGATCCACTCTCCTGGCGATTGTTAGGCCCTGTTGTTGGTTGCACAAACATCGGGATCAATGAAAACACTCCCATAGGAAGTGCAAAAAACTCAGCTTTCCCAAGATACACAAAATCTGTCTGCGCCCCTGGCATTTGGCAGCTTGATTTCGTCGGGTAGTTTCAGCCTGGCGGCATTTCAGCCTAGCAACCGAGGACGCGAAAGCGTGACCATGCTGAGAGTTTTTGCCAATTCGCTGCCAGGCTCAAGCATATTCAAAAGGCCGAAAGCCTCGAAATCTGCAAACCGATCGCACCAGAGATGCCTGGACTGTGAACCCTTTCCAGCGGCCACAGAGTAAGTGTTGGAAATTTTGGGCGTTGTTCGGCCTAGCTGCATGTTGGCAACCTAAAAATCAATCAGATCGGCAGAGGTCGCAACACCACAGAACCTGGTGCCAAATGCCGTGAGGATCAAAACTACCCAGGATGCCCAAATCTGAAACCGACAGGCAAAAACGTGCCGGGGCTTGGATGATTACTGCATCTTGGACCTGCCTAGATCCTGGTGCCGCCCTTGGAGTCCCGCACCGGCCGAGGCAAGAAGTCGGAGTCGAAGTAGAAGTCGAAGTCGAAATGGAAGTAGAAGTACATGCAAAGCAAAACACCGAAGTCGAAGTGGAAGTAGAAACAGAAGTAAAAGTACAACTAAAAGTTGCTGTTGCCCTAACAACAAGTGTTGCTGCTGATGCCAACCACCAGCAGACCACCCACCAGGAAACCTCGGGAGATCACCACGAGACCACCACGAGACTTTTGCGAGCAAGCGCTTTCGTTAACCCGGCTTCCGTTTGCTACCGGTGTACAAGAAAGCAGCGGCGGACAGTTCCTTCTCTGTGTACCGTTGGCGAAAAGTCCGTGCCGGTCAGGTGGCCGGAATTCGACAGTCCAAACCGAATGGTGCGGAGAACCACCGGTATACGCCACCCGGTGCAGTGCCGGACGAAGAGTTAGAGATGCCGGAAATCCATCCAAATAGACTCGACCTTTGCTCCGCCTGCCTCGGCCAACATACCCAATCCTTCGTCCGTAGGAGCACCGGTCGTGTCTGGACGTTTTCCGGACCCTCCTTTTCCCTTGTCCGCGGCCTCCGGTTTCCTTTCGAGGTTTTGCAGTCATTCGTGCGTTTCTGAAAAATTACACCAGCGAAGACCCCAAACAGATTGCATCGAATCACACCGGTTCAAATGAGGCAATATTTTTGTGCAGAAGAAGAATGGGTTGTGATGACATCCGCACGGCAAGGAAACGTTCTTTTTTTTTGGAAAAAAGAACGGCGT